AGAACCTGTGATTCAAATAATTACAACTCCCAAAATTCGGTAGAAATAAGTCACAAGTTTCTAAGAGAAAATACTAAGTGTCTCTATACATCATAGTCTAAAGAGAATAAGAAAAATAACATAGTAAGGATAGAGGGGGACTTCGAGGTCTGTGGATGCTGGCAGATATAGCTTCAAGTCTCCACGTACGGTCCAGCTCACTAGTATCTGGCCTGGTAGGAGGAACCTGGATCTGCACAAAATGATGTGCAGAAGTGTAGTATGAGTACACCACAACGGTACCCAGTAAGTGTCAAACCTAACTTCGGTAGGGTAGTGATGAAGTTAGGTTAGGACCCCACTGGAATAAAAGGTAATGAGGAAGAAAATATAATAATATAATGAAGTAACTGAGAGATAAACAACAAGAAATTACAGAAAGGTAACAACACAGCAAATAGAGGAAAACAACATGGGCTCTCCCGAGGTATCGCCTCGTAGTCTAAAATGTAAATACATAACAGGGGGATCTCCCAAGGTACTGCCTCGTAGCCTAAAAGTAAATATGCAACGAGGAATCTCCCGAGGTACCGCCTCGTAGTCCCAAAAATAAATATGCAACAGGGAGATCTCCCTAGGTACCGGCTCGTAGTCCCATAAGTAAATATGCAATGGGGGATCTCCCGAGGTACCGCCTCGTAGTCCCAAAAGTAAATACACAACTCATAACCTATGGAACAACGAATTTACAGCAAGGAACCATACGGTTAAAGACTGAATACAAGATCACAGAGGCAAGTAATTCAACTAAGTATGTTGCACAAAATTTAAAGTAAAAGTTAAGACCCGTAGACATGCGATACTAGGCTAAACATGACAGCTACACATGCTAAGGCAACTCAGTTAAGGAATTTAAAAGAAGACTACTCAGCAAGAACCGGAATTTTCATATTTAGCCCGTATACGCACTCGTCACCTCGCGTACACGGCACTCACATATCACAAATTGTTACAATAATAACAAATC